AAACTAGCTCATCAACGAGGCCCATCGAAACTATCCAAAACAAATGGACTAAATTAGGCCATTGTTCCGATCACAAATCATCCAAGCCCATCAACCGGCTCGATTCAACTGCTAATAAATCTTCGTTACGTGTACGATCGCCTCGCCAAACTCCCCGAGCAGACAGAGCTATTTGATCCATTCCTGTACCAAAACTAATCTAGAGTAGGGTTTTGTTCCTGAGCTCTTCCGGCTTTTCCGCCAAAGAATGCTACTTTCCGGCGCATTGAACTGAAAAGATGGTATTTTGGCATAGAATTAGCCAATCTAAGCTTAAACTCATACCCCAACAATTCAAGAGATATTACTTCCAAATTTCCCACGTCTCCCCTCTCAATGACAGAGGAGTCTCTGTATTAGGGAAGCCTTATTGGTATATACACAAGAAACCCACTGATTTTTGCAATAATGTCAGGTTTTTTGCTGCTCCTGTTCAGGTAATTTTCTGGGGTTAGTTTGTTACAGCTTTTTAGCTGCCGGGTTGTTTAGTTTATGTGTTTTTTGTTTTCCAGTTATACAGTTATAGTTTTTATGTCATTTGGGCATTGTTCTTTTACTTCTTTTTGTGTTTCTGAAGTTTAGATGTTATCTATTTGGCTTAAGGGTAGTTTGATCCCGATTTAGTTTTAGGTGTATGATTCATTGGCCTTTTGGTTTTCCTGCTATCTCTATGGTTAAGGAGAGTATATATGATGTGTTAGCAAATTAATTTCACCTGCTTTTGTATAGTTTCTATTGTAATCCAGTTGGTGTTTGTTTTTTTATGCTATTTGAATTTTGAGGGTGATATGTTTCTTACTTGTATAATCCTCTGGATTCTTGGTAATGGGTATTGGAAAATTTTGTGAGGCAAAGTGATAGCTCATGTGATATGTTGTTCCGTATCAGGTTAAGCCAAAGAAGGAAGAGGCAGGCAAGGATGGACCTCGCTTGAATGAGCAAATCACAGCTCAGTTTGTTAGACTGGTGTCAGAGGATGGTATATTTGACCTTGTGTTGTAATATATTGATCTTAATTAAACATCTTACATAAATGTCAATTTTTGGTACTGGTTGGTGGTTGTAATATTATAACAGCATAATCTTTTTCTAAGCCGGTTGCCTTGGAATTTAGAAGAAGGGGTGCAAAGAAAAAAATGAAAGATAAGGATGGAAAATCTCTAACATTTGTTGTGATGGATGGCACTTATCATATGATAAGTTGATAACATGAACTGTGGATTGCATGTAATCTTGTATATTGTGATGTGGGAGAAGTTTTTAATTTGAAATCGTTTCTTTTTTGTGTATTTGTACAGGGCATACTGTTGTCTCAAGACAGGAAGCACTGCAACGTGCTAAGCAACTGAAACTTGATTTAGTTGAGGTACAATGTTTCAAATTTTATGGTCATTTTCATTAACTGTCTAGTGCATCCAAATGAAAATGCTAATCTTTCAACTTTTATGACTTCTCCAATCATGTGTCTCGCAACTTTTTATCCCATGTTTCAATTTATGGTATCCTGCAGGTTCAAAGCTCAGCTAAACCGCCTGTTTGTAAAATCATGGACTTTCATCATGAAATATACAAAAGACACTTAGTTGAAAAGGATCGTGCTAAAGCCAAGGTAGGGAAATAGGAATCTAGGAATCATTAATTAATGTTCTTGTGCAAGTTCCTCTTTATTTAAGTCAATGAAAGGGCTTAGATGGACGTATGGCTTTCATTGGTTGTAGCACTGACAGACAGGTGGTGTTTTCTGTGTGTAGGCTGGAGTTAGCATGAAGAAAGGAGCTGGCAAAGAAGTTCGTTTTACTCCAAAAATAGTATGCTCAACTCAGTCTTTCAGAATGTTTTTTGTCTTCTTATTCTCCCTTGGTATATCATGAAACCAAAATAGAATTGTTTAATATATCAATTTGATTAGATTCTTCTGAAAACTTGTATGCTGAACTCTCATTAAAGCTGTCTGGATAAGCTATAAAAACCTAAGTTACCCAACTTCATGATCTGTCACACTTAATAGAAAAAGTATATAAGTTTGGAAGGAGGGCATAGAGGGGTGGGGAGAATTAAACTGCAATAAATTGCTCATTTTTATCAAATTTAGAACTATGTAAAATGTAAAATATTCATCAAATAAAGGGTATGTATTTAAGCTTGTTGATCTATCATTTTTCATGTCACTTTGTAACCTTTAGATGAATCCTGAAGTAACCTTAAGAAGGAATAGGTTTTAGCATTTCATCTTGCTGGATCTATTGTTTGTACAAGTATGCACACATTCATATTATCTATTTTGTACATATTTATTTCTTTTAATGCGTTTAACTGATTTTTTAATTCCCTGCCTAGAACTTACAAAGCAATAAAACCAAATCATGACTTTGCGTTATTTTTTCCATTTCCAGGAACAAAAAGACCTGGAGATGAAGGCCAATACAATCAAAAGATTGATGGAAAGTGGTTACCGGGTGAAGGTACTTCCTTGCATTTGTTGAAGGGACTGAATCATAAATATTGTTCCTACATTATTTCCTAGTGTTTAAATGCATTCCATGCAGTTCACCTTTCTAAGTATGGTTATTTTTGTTTTCTTGATTTTGATGTACAGTTCACCTCCCTAACATCAACTGTAATTTTCTTTGTGAGAGAGCTTCCAAATATTGTTTGTGTTGTGTTCTAATTAATGCCCCCTTTCTTCCTCGTTTCTCTCTATCGAGAACATTGAGTTTATAAAGATCTGCCAAAGGTTCCATTCTTTTAACTGAATGAAACATTCATGTACCCTGTACCCAGAAATTCAAAAATTATTCCAGCATGAAATAATGCTTGTTCATCTGATTGTGAGAAGGTAATTTCAGTGAAAGTATGCCAAGGAGCTCTAAAATTCCTTATGTTACAATTTCCCCATGTACTAATGAAATCCAATATGTTTTTGGATGCAAAAGAATATATGCCTTCGTCCAACAATTGGTTCTGTTTTTATATAAATTACACATCTACCAATTCGGGAACATGCCTGGAATGTATGTTTATTGGTTCGTGACTCTGGAAAGTTTATTGTTTCTTTCCCAGAAGCAAGTGTGATGTGTGTATATGTTAGCTGTCTTTAAATTGAGGATGTTAAATCCTTAAACTTCCTTATATTATTCTGATTAAAAATATAACAATCTTTTGTGATTCTGAAACAGTGTATGGCTGTGGGCAAGGGTAAGGAAGGTGAAGATGAGAACTTGGGAGAATTGTTGTCTCGTCTTACTCATTTGGTATGTGCTATGTTTTCCCCATTCTCTTTTTGATGCAGGACCTTTGATTCCACTTTGTCGTTTATAAGATGCATGTGAACCCCTTTCTAATTCCATTTTGAACTAATTTATGCAGATTGAAGATGTGGCTCTTGTGGAGAGTGGACCTTTTATAGAGAAAAGGCAGGCATATGTAGTAGTCAGGCATGTAAAATTTGGTCCTCCCAAGAAAGGTGCTGCAAAAAAATTGACTGCTGTTGGAGATATCAGCAAACCAGCAGCCATCAATCCTCAAAGCAATGTGCTGTCTGAAGATAATTCTCAGCAATCTGTGTCACCATCTGAAGATGAAAATGAAATACCTTCTGATGCAGATGATGTGTGTATACAAATGCATGATGAAAACGTGACTGCTTGGTCAGTTAAGGATTCAGATCATGATTTTGAGAATGTATTTGATTTTAAGGCTCCAAAAGAAAGGGCCATGGCAAATTCCATGAATGAAGAGACAAGAGCTGCACTACAAACAGTAAACCTCCCTCAAACTGGAGATGCTTCAAACTTTGTACGGACCAAACCAGCTGTTGAGTTTACAAGAGCAAACAAATTTCAGCACTCCCATGCAGGGAGTTTACCAGATACTGAGAATAGATACAAAAGAAGTGAGCCAAGGGGTCAGTTCTCATCTCCAAGTGCAAATATATTTCAACCCTCCCATCCTGGGAGTTCCCCTGAGACTGAGAACCGATACAATAGAAGTGAACCAAGGAGTCAGTTCCCACCTCTGAGAGCAAATACCATTCAACCATTTCCCCCTGGGAGTTCCCCTGATACCGAGAACAGATACAAAAGAAGTGAACCAAGGAGTCAGTTCTCACCTCCTAGATCGATGGATTACCAGGTGCAGGCTAAAAGAGAGCCATTCAGGCCAGAACCTCAGTTCCCATATCAAAGGCGGCAACCACCACATGAAACGAATAATGCCTCATCCTCAGTTGGACAGACGAAGCAAGTTGCAGATAATGAATCTGCCCTTAGAAACTCAAAGCCTTCTCAGAAAACATCAAGTTATGGGATATTCAGCACTCCAAAAACAAATCCTCCAGGCACAGAAGGCATACCAGCAGGTGAGCATCAGAACCGTGGCCCTGGAGGGAGTCAGAACTTTCCCGGTTCAAAACCTGATGATAGTCAGAGTGGAGGTAAGAGTGACAAAGGGGGATTTGGAATATTCAGCAGACCAAGTATGACCACGACTCCAAGTAGAATATCTAAGCCAAACTAGTGAGTTTGTTAGAGACAATACAATATACTCGCAGCCTGAGGCAAAGGAGGTGTAGTTAGAACATATGCTCATCATTTTTTGACCAATTGCTTATGTCATTTTTTCCATAGTAACTAATTTCTTGAAATTGTCTTGCCTTAAGGGCTAGAAGAAATTGTTTTACATATTTCTGCGTTTGCCGCTATGGCATGGAGTATTATTGCTCATTAATAAATGAATCTGAATTTCCCAAATTGTAACATTCAATGTTATTCTCTTTCAATTTGTCAATTAATTCTTTCTGCTTTTATCTAAAGTTGGTTATTTAATCAACTCTTTTTGGTCAGTTTCAACTTTCAAGCGGAAAAGAACAGCCCCAGATTTCTCCTTTTCCCCTGAAAGACATGGGTTTTAATTTTATCACCAGCCATGTGATTTGGTGTTGTAGATCTTTGAGCACTTGAAAAAAAAAAAAAACATAAAGAGTGCTCACTGTAGTTTAAGCTTCTGGTGAGGCAGTGAGCCATTTGACATTATTCGTCTGTTATGGGTTAAATATTTAAATTGAAAGTCGAACAATGAAATTGAAATCATGTCAAAGTTCAAGGACGGAATAGAATGTTTGTCCTAGTTTTTTTGGGCCACAAAAAAAAGGTCCAAACCAAAATGGAAAACAAGTACGGCCCACAACAAAACTCAATAAATATGGAAACCCGCAAAGCCAACCCGCCAACGGTAAATTACGCGGAACTCAAAACACTTCCTATAATTGCCCTAGACAATTATAGACTACTGACTACTGACTACTGAGTCGCATTCACTGAGAATACCGAATTCTTTATCGTCTGTGTGTGAAGGTAAGCTCTTGATTTAGCTGTTTGGCTGCTAAGAAATTGGCAGGAAAATAACTATCGAATTTGATTTTCTTTTTCTTTCGGTTTCTTGCTTCCTTTTTGTTGGTTTCTCGGCCAGCAAGTGGAATGCTGAGTATTCGTTTATTTTGAGGGATGGAATTTCGCAGAGCAAAAAGGAACATAGATGTATAAGGAAGGAATTACAGTCACTTTAGTGCAGCGGTTGGAATCTAATGTGTTTGGTTAATGAGAAAATATGCAAGTTTTGCTTTCTTAGCTCTGATTTGCGCTGGTTGACGTGTAAAAACTCGGGAACTGTTCGTTTTCAGTTTACTAGATTTTCTTGTGTTTCTGTAATTTGTTTTCCAAATACCTTTTTCTCTTTCATCATGTGTGCTTATTGATTGTCTTTTCTCGATTCATTGCAGGCTGGGTTTATTTTATTGAAGGTTAGTGAATATGGATTTTGATGAATATGAGTATTTGGAGAAAATGGTTGAGAATCCTGAGCCTGAAAAAATGAAGGAAAATACTAGTGGTGGTGATGGAGGTATGAAAACTGAAGAGAAGGAGCATAGCAGGAGTGCAAAGGATAGGAGTCACAAGAAGAAAGGTAACAATTACAATGATTCTCATCGTTTTAAGCGCCAAAAATCTGTAGATGAATCACATGATCACAACCAGGGGAAGGAGAGAGGCTCATCTAGCCACCACTCAAGATCTAGAGATGGCGAAAGGGATAGACAAAGGAGTGACAGGGAACAGAAGAATAGGAATAGAGATTTGGAGAGGAGTAGGGATAAGGAGGAGAGAAATGGGAAGCACAAAGCTAGGGATCAAGACCGTAATGGGAGAGATCATGGCCATGACCTTGAGAGAGACAAGGAAAGGGAGAGAGAGCAGTCACGGCGAAGTAGGAGTCAATCAGAAAGGAATCAAAGTGATCAAGATGAGAAGGACAGAGAGAGGAGTCAAGAAAATGAGTTTAGAGAAAAAGAAAGGGAGAGAGAGTTTAGGGAGCACAACAGAGAAAGCAGGTACAATTACTATTAATCTGTCATTTTATTGTTTTACCTGTAACTTATTTGTGGATGTCTTCTTGTTTTACTATTCGTCAGTACAGATAGATTCAATGTGATTAGCATTCTGCAAGTAAAACGAAATATAGTATGAGTAATTCTATTTCAACAGGCACTTGTGTCTCTTATGAAGACCAAGCTTTGTATTGCCTAATTATAGGATGAAAATTATATAACTTGTCCTGTTAGTTTGGGGGAATAGATTGCTTGCATATGCTTGCTTCAGTGCAACATGATGTAATTAGCCATTGTCTAAGATGATAGTTCTTGGCAGGTGTAGAACTTTGGATGAGGTTATTTTCTTGGGAGATTTTCTTTGTAATTTCTTTCATACTATCAAGGTATGATGTTTATCATAAATCTCCTCTTGAATCAGATTCTGATTTACTCTAGCATTACCCACTTTTTCATATTTTCAAATCATAATGTTGGTCTTCATAAAATAAAAGTCATGATGTTATTCTTTAGGTTAATCATTTTTTTAGAAGATGAAATCATTTATTCTTCACCTGCATTCATTTACCCCCTTTTGTTGACTTTGCGTAGTTCTCTGCAGGGTTTATTTAAGAAGGATACAGATTTCAGCTTATTTACGCATAGTGGGAGAACATTGATGCCATTCTGGACTTTGTTTTTCTTAATTTTTCTTTTTGGAAGTAGTTGCCTGCTGCAGACACCTGAGAAATTTCTTTGCTTCCCAATAGCAAAATTTCCTGCTATCGTTTTCCTTTTGTGAATGTTTTCGTCAGTTTTCTACTATAATTTAGCAGCAATTAGACAATCTGAGTGGTAATTTTATGTCTCTTCCTTCCTTTTGCAGAAGGCAAAAAGAGAAAAAGGAAGAAGTATCAGTGCTGGATGCTGATCCGGAAAGGGATCAGAGGACGGTATTTGCTTATCAGGTAACCCAGATATATTTACATGCCCATTCTATCCTTCTCCTGTGTCAATGATGTTTGTTTCTCATTATTTCTGATGTAAAAGGTTTTGCTGAATAATTTCAACAGTTATCTATAAAGGCAAGTGAAAGAGATGTATACGAGTTCTTCTCCAAGGCTGGAAAGGTTAGTTTTTATTTCATAGGATAGGAGTTTTTGCTTGGCTTGTCATTTAATGTATTGCATATCAGTATTTCTTCCATATTATTCCTTTCATTTTATAGATCATTAGGTATGATGCCAAGAATTGCTTAAAAAAAATTGCTTTTATGATTTTCATTCACTATTTTTTTTTTTTTTTGGGTTTAATTATTGGATTGTTCTGGAGCATCTATATCTACGGAGCTTGTTCTTCGAATTCATGCACTATATGTCATATTGGTGTTCATAATCTTGAATGTGCCAAATTCTTTTTCAAAATGCCGTGCATTGAACTTTGTTAAGTCATAGTTCTCTGTGGGTGATCAGACACAGGAATGCAAGCTCTGAGTTTAATTTTACTATTAATAATTAATTCCAAAAGATCTTGCATGAAAACAAGAGATAAGCACAGAAGATGGTGCTTTTTATTATTTTTACTCTGTTTTTCTCTTCTCTTTCCTTAGAACATGTCTTTGTAAAATTGTAATGCCTCTCAATATCAATTTTTAGGTACGAGATGTACGCCTCATAATGGATAGAATTTCAAGACGTTCCAAGGGGGTTGGGTAAGTATTTGAAGCTTTTTTTCTTATCCTTTAAAATGGGGTAATTGATTCTTGAAGGGGTGGGATTAGGAAATGCCTGCGTTGACTTAATGCCAAATCACAAGGCCTGTTTACCACCAGGCTGGATAGGGATTGATGGGTATGCATTTTAAATCTAAGGAAAACTATCTTATGTTTCTTACTTATTTGGTCATTGGCATGTTGCTTAACTGAATTTTATGATGTTGTCTGGAAAGACTTGCTTAGTTGTCTGTAGTTCTCATTAGATACAATTCACTGCAGAAACAGAAAGAATGCAAAGGGTAGTTGTTTATTGTTATATATGTTTCATAGCTTGCATTGGTTGTATGTAACTTGCATTAGATATAATATCCAGTAATTGGATGAAAAGACAGGCAAACCCTATTTCTGCAAGTAGGAATTATTATTATTATTTTTTTCCATTTGTTATATATTCTTCGATCCAAAATGTGATATGATAAGAAATTGATAAGCATTATGCTGTATGTGCACTCCTTGTTTGCCACTTATTGTGTAGATGGCTTTTGTTGTGGCAAGTGTGCACAATAATAATTTCAGTATGATGGATGTCTTCGGTTTGTGTCAGCTGATTACCAAGTACTTACCTGTTTTGCACTGAAATTTGATCATGTAAAATGTTTAGGTTTTTTGGTTTTTTAATATCCCAAACATATATAAAATATATTTAATATTTATTTATTTTAGTTAATAGTTTATATATTTTTGGGATAGTAAAAAGAAAAAAGTACCTACAATTACAACACTGCACAGCACTCCCAAACAAAGCCTTAATTATGAGTTCTTACTTTTATTCAAATTGGTAAAGTTAAATATCCCTTAGTTTTGAATGGTTTGCTCCTTCATCTTAATTCTTGGAGCATGGTTATAGGACAATACTTGTTATGTGTGTGTGTGTGCCCGCGCACGTGTGCATGCATGCTTGTATGTATGAATATTACTATTTTGATCTTGCTGTGTGTGTGTGCGTGCGCACATGTGTTTGCATGCATGTTTGTATCTATGAAACTATGAATATTGATTGAATTCCATTTGGCAGCTACATTGAGTTCTATGATGCGATGTCAGTCCCTATGGCAATAGCACTCTGTGGGCAGCCTCTTCTTGGCCAACCAGTCATGGTGAAACCATCAGAAGCTGAAAAGAATCTTGTGCAGTCAACTGCATCTGCTGCTGGAGGATCAGGTGGACAATTTGGACCTTACTCTGGTGGTGCTAGAAGGTTATATGTTGGCAACCTACATCACAACATAACGGAAGATCAACTTCGCCTGGTTGGTTTACTAACCATTAGGGAATATTTAATGTAGCTACCTGTAGTTAACTTGGACATTCAAATAGACACTCTAGGCTGTCTTATACATATAAACTTATTTTATCATGTTCAATTTGTCTTCATCTTTGATTTCATGTACTTCTGGTTGATCAATTTTTGCTGGTTGTGAAAATGCTCAGGTTTTTGAAGCTTTTGGTACAGTGGAGCTGGTGCAATTACCTCTGGATGAAACTGGACACTGCAAAGGTTATGGTTTTGTCCAGGTGTGTAATTCTTGACAAAGCTGCCTATAAATGCTATTTTTGTATTTTAGCAAGAAACTTACATGTTGGAAATTCATCGTTATATTGCCAAATGGAGTTGCATGTATGACCCAGTGACAAACTAGATAGACTATGAAATGGAAGTCCTTTATTTTATAAGAAAGATTGCTGCATGTATTCAACAACATTGTGTAGTGTAGTAATATTTCAATAAAGTGTTCTTGTTTACTATTAATGCTGTTAATGCTCAATTTTGTTTCTTCTTAAAGCACTGGATAATTGAATGGTTTTTCCTTTTGCAGTTTGCACGTCTTGAGGATGCTAGGAATGCACTAACCATGAATGGAGAGGTGCAGATTGCTGGTCGCCCAATTGAGGTAATTATTTTGTTATGTCTGTAAGCATTAGACAACTTTTGTTTCCAGTTCTACCACCTCATTCGAAAATTCTATTGCTGACATCACACCAAAATAGACTGCATTACTATCTTTTGACTTGACTCTTAAGACATAACTGCTGTTTTAGCTTCAGTCCTTGTGATTGTGCAAGTTATTGTAATTCTATATTTCAAGACCACCAGTTAGTCGCGAAATTGAGCCTTTTCCTTTATCTTTTCTTGTCTAACAAAACTATCATATCATCATCATGCAAATGAGACATTGGTCCAGTTGGATAAGCACTTGTTGAGGCTCTAGAAGTCTCAGGTTTGTATCCCCTACCCTCAAATGTCAAAAACCCATCATCAACATGTATATGCTGTGACTGCCTTGCACCCACATTGATACCATTATTTATTTTACTGCCATGCAAATACTTGTAGCACACAACACTAGGATGCAACTCTTCCCAGAGAACCTATATGCTTCTGCTGCCATTATTGTTGCCACAACTTGCTGGGTTTAACAAATAAACACATTCCAAATTCTAAAGTTCTTGGGTTATGAAAATAGTTGATTACTTGTGAATTGTTACTGTGAGGGTACTGGAGCTTAAGAGAATTTTGCAGTCTTTAGATAGAGCCCAAACACATGTTTTTGTTATTTATTTATTTATTTTTTCATACTACTACCTTTCTAAGTGACAATGCAGAAAAGTCTTTGGATCTTCAAATTTTAATTTATTTTTCTATATGTGCTTTTCCTTGTTAAGGTGTCAACTGTTACTAACCAAGTTGGAATGCATGATGATGGGGCAAATGCTGGTGATCTTGATGATGAAGAAGGTGGTGGCTTGGTTAGTATTTTGTTAGCCTTTTCTATATGGTGCACTTTATTGTTTCTTGAAGTGCACATTTTGTCTACCATCTACATCTAGCAAGCTGAAGAAATATTTTCCTTAATTTTAGCCTCTGAATTCACATTCTCGAGCACTTCTCATGCAAAAGTTGGATCGAAGTGGCACGGCATCCAGGTTTGACTCTGCCTGTTAGGCTAGAATTTTTAATCCTAATCTTCTAGATGATGTTACATTTGCTTCCTTTATTTGCAGTATTCCTGGTTTAGCTGGTGCACCTGTTATGAGTAGCTCTGTTCCAACAGCTGCAATCCTTAGTGCCACACCTGGGGTATCTCAGCTGGTTCCTCCTAGCTTACAGGCTTTGTCTGGACTTATGGCTGCAGGCTTCCAACTTCCTGCAATTAATGTTCCTACTATCAATACAATTGGAGACCCAAGTGAGTGTCTGTTGTTGAAGAATATGTTTGATCCAAAACTAGAGGTTGGTGAGAATGACTTGTCTGTGAGGTTTTTTTTGTGCTTCTATGAGTCATCTGCTTATTCTCTTAATTTTTGGACAGATGGAGCCAGATTTTGATTTGGACATTGGAGAAGATGTCCGAGAAGAATGTTCAAGATTTGGAAATCTGAAACACATACATGTAGACAAGTAAGTGCTCTTGTGATATGTTGATACCTAATATTTTTGTTTGATAAGGCAATATTATCTACCCCTTTATCTGAACTTGAGGGTATTATCTGTTCCCCTCACTTTCTGATAACTGATGTTTATTGAACAGGGAGAGTGATGGTTTTGTGTACTTGCGATTTGAAAACACACAAGCTGCAGTAAGTGCTCAACGCAATCTCCATGGAAGATGGTTTGCTGGGAAGATGATCACCGCAACATTCATGGTAAATCATTCATTTAGCTTGGTTTATACATGTCCTTTTCTTCCAAAAGTCCCATATTAATGGAAAAAACTTTGTTCCGTAATTGCAGGTGCCCCAGACATACAAGTCTAAGTTCCCCGACTGCAGTACATAGGACTTCTGCTTAATAGGTAGGTGTAACGCTTTTCCTTTTTGATTGGCAAATTTGTCAGTATATAATTATATTTAGTTATTCAGGAGATTTTAACCGTACCCTTAACACCAGAATCAAGGTTTGTGAATTCTGTAATCCTCGTGGGTTTGGTGAGTGGGTATCAACTCAACTTTAAAATTTTACCGTGCAATGTTCTAGTCGAATGTTCTACTTCTAGTTAAGAGATAAAAAGTAAGAAAATTTGCCCTGTATTTTATTATATTATCTTTTGTTTCTTTATTCATACTTTTTTTTTTTGGCCTGCTTTTTTCATCCCTAGTATGGGTATTTTTAGGACGCTGATTTCTGGAGCGAAAAAGGGCGAGCCGAAATGGAGCCTTGCGAGGGTTTTAAATAAGAATGTTCTGACTTTTGAGTATGGGTGAGCATTTTGTTCACAAGTTGGATATAAAATATATTTAGTATTTGATTTAAAAAATTTTTAGTATAGTTTTTTAAACTTAGTATCTACTTAAATATTTGATATTTAACTTAACAGGTACTGTTAATTTGCCGGTAAATATTTATATATACTTGATTTAAGGAAAGAAAAGATTTAATACAAAATGCTATTGTGACATGTTTGGCTTAAGCTTTATTATTTATATGAGATGTTATTACTACTCGTATAATTTGTTTGACTTATGTGTCTTAATTTTAATTTTTTATTTTTTATTTTTAAAATTTATTATTATTATACAAATATTAACTATAATAAATATATATAAAATTTTAATTATACAAGTAATATGTTAGTTAAATAAGCTGATTAAATAGGTCAACTAACTAATTTTAAACTTATATTTATTATTTAACTTAATATTTTAGGGTATATTATTTTTATACTCATTAT